TTCCATTTCGATATTTAATTTCATCGCCAATATGGTTTAAAATATGAACAAATCCATATTTAGAAAATTTATACCGAATTCGAAATTCGTCTTCGGAATAGATTTTTAAGGATTTCGACATCTTATTACTATCGAAATGAATAATTTTAAATATTTTATTATTAATATTACATTTTTTTATATCTATAAACAGATTTCTGTAATTATTAAAATTGTCTCGTTTGTTTAACAGTAAAATGACTCCGAAATGCATTAACGTTTTATAACCGACACGATACTCGAATTGTAAATAAATGCATCTGATTTAAATTAATTAAAGTTTTAAGTCTTTACCCATTTGAATATCGAAATCGGAACATTTAAAACAAATTTAAAGTATTTAATTTTATTGTTTTGCTCCAAGCAATTAATTAATGAATAATTTTGTCGATTCGTATCGTTTACAGCATTTATCAAAGGAACGATATCTGTTTGTATCTAAACTTTTCTACGAACAAAGCTACCACTCCAATTGAAAAGACCTCTAAACGTGCTATCGAGGGAGTTTAGAAAGTAGGTCAAATAACTTGTTTCTAATCGCTGTCTGCATTGTCGCAGGCGAGAAACGCCGTCTCTGCAATGAAATTTTTCTGAACAGCGGTNGGAATAAATATATCAAATATTTTAATGGAGTTTTTTTAACTCCTGTCAACTGTACAGAACTATCGTAACAACATACCAGTAAATTCTTATCCGTTGGGTTAAGTTATAAATCTATTCATGATTCACATAATCGGGCGAGGGCGGCCAAATATCTAGCGGACAGGCAGCTAACAGTCCAGAACCGGTCCCGGATAGAATTGGAAGCGTTATATGTGTAGCATCAACCCAAGGTCATAGGCTTCCACCAGCTAAACCGGGTGAAGTTGGTGCTCTGTAAAGCGCATGCGCAAATCTGGCTTTTTGGAATCTGACAATACAGAGATTCCACTCCGCCACTAATATTCGAATATACAATAGCAATCTTATTTTTTTTTCACGTGTAGTATAGAAATTTGTAATAAGATACATATTGCGGTTATAATAAAATATTGTGCGATTATTTTCATATAATTAAAATTAATATGTATTTATTTTTTATAAAATACAAGGGAAGCGGCGCTTCCACCGCTTCTAATGACGGCACGCCATTGTGTTACGGGAATGGTTAGGGTAGTGAGGGCGTATATGAGGGAGACCAATGGTTATCATGCAGTGCTTGCATGCGATGTTGGTGGTGATAAGAGTTAAATCGATGGCGGTCCCTGGACCGTTCTCATTTAAGTGCGTGAGTTGCCCATCATTGAGCAGATATAAGTGGGAGTGGTCGATGAGGTCGGCTAAAATACTGTACTTACGGAAAGCGTTTCTGAACTATGATGCAGTGACGTGTAGCGATAGCTGTTCGTGACGTCATTTTCGCTACACTCTTGCTGCATAAAGAAAGGCAACCTTAGCGAGGAAAGAAAATTTTGGAATTTCACTATTTTTGTTAGTTTGTTGAGAATTTTTAAACTCTTAGGTCCGATTGCAGAGACAGCGTTTACGTTAAACGACGTTTATCAACAGAACGGCCTACAGACGTTTGCTGGCTGAACCGCGGTTTAAAATGCGTTGCAAAGACGACGATCGTCTATTTCTGACCATTTTCTAAACGAACTTCGGCAAAACATTGGCTCTTACTTATTTCACTATTATTCCCCTGTTTTAGGAGTCATTCGGCCAATCGGGTTATTTGTTTGTGACGTCAGAAATAGTCGCCAGCTATATTCCGAAAGCTTCCAGAAATAAAATCTTAAAAACAATTGTTCGGCAATTAATTAAAATGACAATTCTGTTCCATTTCGATATTTAATTTCGTCGCCAATATGGTTTAAAATATGAACAAATCCATATTTAGAAAATTTATACCGAAATCGAAATTCGTCTTCGGAATAGATTTTTAAGGATTTCGACATCTTATTACTATCGAAATGAATAATTTTAAATATTTTATTATTAATATTACATTTTTTTATATCTATAAACAGATTTCTGTAATTATTAAAATTGTCTCGTTTGTTTAACAGTAAA